ACATCACCATCTGGCAGCTGACACTAATAATTATTGCTAATTCAATGTTTACTTGCAAAACAATTTCAACTTAAAATTTTTTGTTTACTGAGTTGGAGCAGGCTCAGCAGCCAGGGAGGTTATACGATTTTAATCCCTCATTAACTCATAAACATCAAAGGGAATTATTCATGATATAGTTTAATTGGTGTTTAATATGTTACAGCACATGTATCTTCCCTACTGTTCCATCAGGATCAGATAAGAGTTCTTGGGCATCAATATCAATAGCTAACTCGACCAATCTGTCTGAAACCAGTCTCTTCCATACTTCCATAGATTTAAAAAAAGAGCTGAACATATTATATCGAGTTTTCTTCCCTGAAATATCTTTCCCACATCCGTAACATGAAATAACTGTAGCACTAGTGTAGTGACATCACAGAACTCATAAATATTCATGATCTTATTTTGTATATATATATATATATTGCATGCTGTGTTATTAAAGATCAGTGTTTGGGTGTCAACTAAACGAGACTTAACATGAGCGCTAACCCTCACTCTTAGTCTCGCAAGCCAGACCCTCCCCGCCTACGGTCATTTGGGTGGACGGCGGGGAGGGTCTGGTACATTGTCTACAGCGTATTTCAGCCCACTTGGATCACGGAACAACCTTTCCGTATGCAAGACACTCCCTCTTCCCAATTAAAAGTACAGGTAGGTGTGGATACGGAACGGAAAAAGTGATCCAAGTGAAGTGAAAGACGCTGTACTGTTGATTGCAGTTCCGTTCGAACGGAGCGTGCGTCGTGAGTATCTTTCCGTGCATATGTTTATTAGGATCACGTGATCTCTACGCATACGCTCCGTTCGAAAGGAACTGCAATCAACAGTACACTAGTTTTGTTCTCGCGTCCAGAATTGGACGTGACCAATCAGAATAAGTTATTGAGAACTGTCATCAATAGTCACACAATTGTCACATGATCAAAATGGCCGCTTTTTGTCTAGCTTGTGGTGATGATGTGATTAAGGGATCTAGAGCAGTTGCTAGCCAGGTATCAGTGATTTTGAAGCGTTATCTAACTAGAAGGTGCCAGGAACTCAACATGGATATTGATCTTAACTCGCTTATAGACCAATCTCACGTCTGTAGAGCCTGTTGTAAGGTCTACACAACTCACCAGCAGAAGGACGAGCATCTTTATGACAAAACCTTGGTTTCTTTTAGTAGTATAGTTAGCCAGCAACAATCAACACCATCCAGACCTGAATCACGTAAGAGATTGTCCTCCAACAGCACCAATAATGATGAATCATCGTTTGAATTAGAAGATACTTGTAAAAGAGCATGTATAAACACAGAGAAAGACACAGAATCACCTCCTGTTGTTGTAAGTTTTTGCTGTAATTTGTGTGAACATCTATTTCAATGACATTTAGGTTGGTATTGGCTACAGAAGTGGTTGCAAAGCATATGTTCAGAATACCCCTCGAAGGAAGCGATTGGTCAGTAAAATATCTCGTACTAAAGATTCTGCTAAAAGTATGGCCTGTACAGCATTAAAGGACCCTGAGGTGTTAAAGTACTTAGCTATTGGAATGGGGCGATTGATCAAAAATGAAATCAAGACCCTTTGTAGTGAGCGTGTCAATTCCATTCAGCGTTCATCAGAGCAGAACGATATTATATATTTTCCATGGGCAAAAATCTTAAAGGAAACAAGAGAGCACTGTCCACTTCTTATGTCCTTCATTTATGCGTGCACTGAAACTAAAAGACTGAGGTACTGTCTATAAAACTTTCTATCTGTTCATAATTATGTACTATTGATTTTTAGGTCCAATCGTTTGCATTTTATGTCAGCCATTGTATGTATGCTTTCAAAGTATTTGTATGGTCGTATGTCACTTTTCCAGAAGTTAATATCGTCTATATTGTATGCTGGCCATTCTGGAACAGTAGTGAGTGACCAATGCTTTAGTATGTATATGTCCTTGTGCATCATAGGTCTATACAAGACTTCAGAAAGTGTGTCTATGTATGAGCAAGAGTGCAATGTACTCTCTCATAGAAACTCTTGGAAATGATTATGACTCTGAGGTAATGAAGTGGAAGTCAAATCTTATAGACTCATGTACACAAGTAAGGCAATTATTTGGATGAGCTGTATGTTTAACATGTTATAGCAACACAGTTACATGGATTCATTGGATACCACTGGCATAAGGATTGACGAGCATTATCCAGAGTCCAACACAGATGATGAAGTCATTATTGATGACAGTATACATGTAAGAGAGCTACATCTACAATGATATTAATCAAGTGCTATGTGATATTGATAGATTATTGCCAGCACCGTAGAAGAAAGTCAGCTGTCATGTAGTCTTTTTGGAAGTGAGCAACCAGATCTTGAACAGACAGACTCTGTTTCAAATGCTTCAACTCCTGAAGCACCGTCATTTTCTGATTTAACACTAAATTCTGGTAAGTCAAAGTGTGTATAATGTTATTTATCAAAGTTTACATGATGATTGCAGATCAATTCACTGCTTGTATTGAATCCATTGAAGATGTAGATGTTGATATGTCACCATGGAAAGGCTTCAAAATAGTGGGGGATAACATTGACATCAGTGTTGTTCCCCGACACAAGCGGATTGACAATAAAACTAGCTCTCTCCATTACTTTCACTGCTTTGCTGCTCTGGATCGAGTTGATTTCTCTGGAGCAACTGAGGTTCCCAATCAATATATGTGTAAAGGGGTCACAGAGCTACCAGTCTCTGACTTATTACCATCTTTGACAGATGACACAGCTCTTTTATCTAACATGTCTGTTCTTGTGGCTCGTACAATTGTTTCAGAGTTGCCATTTTTTGCAACAGCATTTAAGGATGTTACAACAGCACACATTCCTCATTTGTACTCTGAAGAGATGTCTATAAAATCAAAGACGGTGAGTTGTATTCAGTTTTGTGTTATTGTGTATATGGTACCTTTTGTGTCCTACCTTGCATGTTCTAAGCACTTTCTATTGCAAAATAGGTCCCTCTAGGAGTCATTTTGAAGAACGAGAATATAACAGAAGACATGATAGACATAATTTCTCATCTGCACAAATATGTACCCACTGTTCATCATAATTCCTATGATGAAATATCACAATCTGAAGTTTGTGACGATTTAATTCACGCCATTCTCCTTGGAGGAGATCAATTAACTAGAAAGAGAGCAGAAAGTGCCAAAGAGGGAAGGAAAAATAGCACGACACCACATACAAAACTAAAAGGTTTAGTTCCGGTAGTAGAGGATTGGCATGCGAAGAAGATATTTTTGGAGGTTTGTTACAAATTTAGTAAAAATTAATATTAATAATTCCTATTCTATTATAATAGATGATGTGGAAGTGGTTTTACGATACAAAAAGTTTTATGGAAAGAGGGACACTGTGTCATATAAGAAATGTCATCGACAGAAGAAATATATCAGCTGAAGCAGCAGAAGATTTTAATGCATGTCATGACTTTTTTATAACAGTTGTTACATGCCACATTGTAGCTGTATCTATGCAGTACCTTGGAATGAAGGAAATTGATGATATTCCACATCATTCCATGCTAAGACAAGATATTTGGACAGAAACTGAAGATAACAGAAAAGAAATTTTGCATCAAGTAACAAGAGACATAGCAATGAATCACATTGACATTCTGGCTCATCATAATTTGGATTTGGAAATTGATGGAGATGATGTTAAGAAGTATGCGATTCAATTGCTGTCTCAAGGTCTTCTTTACATGGAATTCTGTGATGCTATCAAGGAGGGAGATGGGGAAAGGATTCTTCGTGTGTGGAGATACCTAATGCTCATTTATAAGGCCCGAAAAAGGAAAAATTATGCCATAGAAGGTTTAAATTTGCTGGCACAACATCATTTTTTTCTGCCTCAACGACAGGCACAACAATTATTATGGTCACGTTGCATTAACATCCATGGACTGCCAGGACGAAATATACCATGTGACCTTTATATGGAACATTTGAATCGTATCTGTAAGCAAGCTGTACAGGCACTTGGTAGTAACAAGACACCAGCAGCATTGGAAAGAGTTGGAAAATGCGTTGGAGTGCTTGATGCATTGTTAAGTGAATATGATAAAGAGTTAAAAATAAGCGAAATTTCAGGTAAACATGCAATTGCAAGTTCTGAGAAGGATAAAAGGATAATAATTAGAGAATTGGTTGAAGCTGGTGTATTCTGTTATGAAATTGGAAGGGCACATAATTGCTTCAGAAACTTATCAATTAACATTGTTTCTAAGCATAAGCATAGTAATAGCACAACAAAGTGGATGATTGAGCATTTGCGCTACATAAGAAGTACTTTGATTTATTGATTACATAATGTATTACATAATTACTGATGTTAAACAATGATTGTGCAATTGAAGAATATGAATGATTATGATGAAATAGTTAATGATTAAATAACACTGGAATAAATGAATAATCTTGGGATAATTTATCAATGCAATGATGACATGTACAGTTTTTCATGCATATATCACAACAGCTGCATCCAGCATTGATGCTAGGAGTAGTGTTTTCAAAATCTCTAAATAAGTGATTGCGCCTACAAGTGACATTCTGGACGTATGTAATCATATGGTTGTTGCAGTTCTCCAGCAACTTCTTTGAATGTAATACCACAGCATATGAATTGGTACCTTCCCTTCCACCTCGTCCTATCTGCTGTACATACGTTTCTGGGTCACTAGGAACTCCGTAATGAATTATCAACTTCACATCTCTACAGTTAACACCCATACCAAATGCATCTGTACAGATTGCAATACGAAGACATGATTTTTTAGTAAAGTTATCTATGATACTTTCCTTTACATCTGCACTTGTCCCTTTGAAGAACATGTCTACTAGACGACAATGGGCAACATCTGGATTAGCTCCTGGTGGATGACTAAAGTATTTACCCATTTGAGCTTTGAAAAAGGCATATAATTTAGGGCAATCACTTTTATTTTTGCAAAATATCATCACTCTAGGCATTCGAGTCAATTTCTCCCTCAATTCTTCAAGAAGATATTCAAAAACTTTCGGAACTCCAAAACTATTCAACCCTTTTAACTCCAGTGAACTTAATCTCAAGTTTCTTTTGTCTGGTGAACGAATGACTACTGATGGTGACCGCATTCCTAATAATTCCTCAACTTTTAATCGCAGTGACCTGGTTGCTGTCGCAGTCAGTGCCATGATACCAATTGATGTTGCCATTACACTTCTAACTTCTTTTATTCTTGAGAAAGATTCTCTAAATGTCAAACCCCTATTAAAATGAAATAATGACACTTACATGTAGGTATGTATTGTAACAAAACAAACCATTTCACAACGCAGTGAGCTTCATCAATAATGACACCGACTAAACGAGACTTATAAGTTGATGACACAAATAACTTTCGCCATCTATCAACTAATTGCTCAGGACTCATGAATAAAATGCTGTAAAATCCTTTTGCAACATTTTCTTTGACTTCTTTCGTTGAGTCAGCATCAATGTAGCCAGCAGATACTCCACGACGCAAAAGATCAGCAACCTGATCAATAATTAGGGCAGTCAATGGGCTGACTACTATAATTATAGCCTTCTCCTCGTCCTTTCTCTTCTCATATATATCAATAGCACTTGGTAAAACTGTAAAGCATATCGTTTTCCCAAAACCAGTCGGTAAAATGGCAAAAACATCCCTGCCCTTCAAAAACTCGCAAATACAGAACTTTTGTTCGTCTTTAAGTGTAGAAAACCCAAGAGCAGAGGCAGCATTAATAACAGCAGCTTCGACGAGCTCTTCCTCCTGTTCTGCGGCCATTTTTCTCCAATTGACGTGTATTGACACAATCTACGTATACATTACGTAACATTTTCTTTGCGCGCTCTCGGAACAAAACTAGTGTAGACAATGTACCAGACCCTCCCCGCCGTCCACCCAAATGACCGTAGGCGGGGAGGGTCTGGCTTGCGAGACTATCCTAAAGTGGATGCAGCCAGATCCCCGAGACTGGACTCAGTAATGAAAACTGTTGCTCCTCAGTCTGCACAGAGTGTAGATAAAGAACTAGCCAGGCTCCAGACATTCATTTTGGATGCTCTCGCTCCACTCACTGCCATCCTAGAAGGTACTAACGAGATGACAGTACAAGATATAAGAGAGGCACTAATCACAGCCTCAATTCTGATTGGCAATGCTAATGCCAAATTAACACGTCTCCGGAGAGAGAAACTGATATCAGCAATAAATGCATATTGGTGATCTGACTCCTCTGATACAGGACGAGTCACAATTTACAGATTCAAACCCATACTTATTTGGGTCAGACTTTGCAGAACAAGCAAAGGAATATTTGGACTGGGCCGGAGTGCTAAAATCCATTACTCTTGATGTAGAACAAAAC